ACTATGACCCAGAGCCCGCCTTTGCGGCACTGAAGGACAGGCAGGTGACACCTGTCTCCAGTGGCAATGAACCAATAGGAAGCGCCCAGCCCCAAGCTACCACCCATGCAGATGTCTTGCTAAGGAAAGAACAAACAACCATGAAGCTGTGCTGGGCTCAGGCAGGTACTCCTAGCTACTCAGGAAGCTGGTGGTCTTTCTGTTGCTGTTGTTGCAGAGCTGAGGACTGAATTCAGGGCCTGGTACTTGCCAGGCAAGTGCTCCTTCATGGGGATCGCAGTTCAAAGCCAGCCTGGGGCAGGTAAATCTCTAATTAATCACCAAAAAGCCAAGTAGTAGTGCTGTAGCTCAAGAGGATAGTGCCCAAGTCCCGAGTTCCAGCCACAGGACTGGTGCAACAAATAAAAATTAGAAAAAATAAGCAAGCAATCTAATCAAACACCTGGATCTAAACGTGCGTTTGCAGGAAGAAGCCGAGGTAAAGGAGCAGGGCCTGCGGCAGGAAGGGGCGGCGTTGGTTAAAGGCAGAGCATACAAAGGATCTACGATCTGCAGAATATGTTGGAAGAGACGTGAGAGTCTGGTGGCTCATGCCTATAATTCCAGCTACTCGGGAGGCGTTGAGATGGTGAGATTTGAGGATGGAAGTTCAAAGGTAGCCTGGGAAGGGAATTCTCGAGACTTTTATCTCCAGTTAGTCACCAAAAAGCCAAATGTGGAGGCGTGACTCAACTGGCAGAACACCGGCCTGGAGAGAAAAAGCGCTAAGTTCAATCATAAGTACAGGCGCACACACACACACAGTTACCCTCACCTCCCACAGACAGACAGACAGACAGACACACACACAGAAAGGAAGAAAGAAAGAAAAAACAAAAGAGGAAGGAGGGAAGGGAGGAAGGAAGGAAGGACGATCACTCCATATTTCCTAGAGATGGGCAATGATACTATTTATTTTTGCCAATATCTGAAGTAAGCTGGCGTAGAACTTTGGTAGCGCTGCACTTCATGTAGACTTGCAATAATAACGTCATCCCCGAGCCAGCCATCTCTCTTTACCTCTTTGTACGTTCTGATCTTTGTGTTTTTTTTTTAACCTTTCATATTACTGGGTTTATAATTTCTGCCTGTTTCTGTTTGGTTCGAATTGCCTTCCACATAACATCGAAGAAAGAATACACACGCCGAAGGTGAGGCTTCCGGTGGCTTCTGAACAGAATCAAGTAGGAAATAAGGAGACATTGTTTGGAGACTGGCGAGCAGAGGAGAATCTTGGTTCCAAAAATGGCTAAAGGCAGTTGGGCAGGGCCGAAGACAGAAAGAACTAGGAGGAGGAGGGAGGGAGGGGGAGGGGAGAAGAGGGGGCACCAGGTAGACCACAATGTTGAGAAATAAAATTATTCTGATCACTTGCCTGGCTGCTGCTTCTTTTTTAAATCTATACCCAAGCTGAATTTTCCTTTGACACCAGAGGTAGAAGGAGCAAGTTGCTTTGCATATCATTGGTAGGTGGGGGGGGGGTGATCTACGTGCCTGTACTCTTTTCTGACGGACAAGAAGGTGAGCAGATCAAGCTGTTTCTCTGGGGTCCTAGAGGAGCAGAGAAAAACCACAATGTGTATCCTTGGCTGGCAGCAAGTGACATCAAAGCACCTCCGATTGCCTTTCCGACTGGGTATTTACCCAGCAGGTAGGGGCTGGGTGGGGGATAGAAATCTCCCCACCTCCGCATCCTGCCTGGCTTACAGCCCCTTCCCCAAACTGCACCCTGACAGCAAAGGCTATCAACAGCTGTCCCTCTGCCTGGCTGCTCAGAAGAGTCTTGGGTAAACAAAAGGTTTTTGACAACCTTCCTTCTTACAAAAGCAGCTACTGCTGGCTTTAAATACATTGAGAGACAGTAGCCTCACTATTCGCTGTGGCTCTACCGTGTGTTTTTTTCTGCCATGCTGTTTTGCTGTCTGTGTCTCTGGTGTGTGTTCCTTCAATAGCAAGGTCTATTCCTCCAGTTCTTGTTGTTGTTGTTGTCGGTACTGGGGCTTGAACGCAGGGCTTGGATGCTGTCTTTAATGGGACCACTTTGAGCCACAGCTCCACTTCCAGTTTTGGGTGGTTTATTGGAGATAAGAGTCTCATAGTCGGGGCTGGGAAGGTGGCTCAGTGGTAGAGCGCTTGCCTTGCATGCCTGAGGCCCTGGGTTCGATTCCTCAGCACCACATAAGCAAAAAGAAAAAAGCCGGAAGTGGCGCTGTGGCTCAAGTGGTAGAGCGCTAGCCTTGAGCTGAAGAGCTGAGGGACAGCACCCAGGTCCAGAGTTCAAGCCCCACGACCGGACCCAAAAAAAAAAAAAAAGAGTCTCATAGACTTCCCTGTCTGGGCTGGCTTTGAACCTCGATCCTCCGATCTCAGCCTCCTGAGTAGCTAGGATTACAGGTGTGAGCTACTAAAGCCCAGCTTCCAGCCCTGTTTTAAACAACCTTTATCACCTTGCGGGTTCCCCGTGAATAAACTAATGAGATCTTTGACACATGCTCCTGTTCGGTTTGTGTGTGAAGCCATGCTTTAGAATTCCTGAAACATATTTTGACAACGTGAATATGCTTAGCATAATGATGGTACATGCTAGGCAAGGGATACATATTTCACAATTGATTGGAGCCCTGTCAGATGTTAAACTCTAGAAGAAGAGAGGAAATTACCTTCCTAGTTCAAAAGTCAGGAAATGAATTCGAAGGTTATTTTTCCCCCCTTCATTCTCCAGTTCTGAAATTGGGTGTCAGAGTTTCATTTGGGAGAAGCTATTGATTGACTGCCACATCAAAGCTTGAAGCAAGGAACAGTTCTAAGGATATAATTTCACTGACATAACATTCTTGCAAATCTGTAAACTTAGGGTGGCATTTCAAAACTGGAATATTATATAATGGAGCACCCTGAAGACGGCTCCATTCTGCTATTCCTTTGTATGATACATTATGCATTCTATTCCCTTTATTCCCCACCCCCATACAATACAGAGATGACAGGCATGTGATACTGTGCCCAGCCATGAGTCAACACGGAGTCTCAAAAACTTATTTGCCCAAGCTAACCTCCAATCTGTATGCTTCATCTCTCCAAAGTAGCTAGGATTACAGGCTTAAGCTACTACGCCCAGCTCCATTTCCTGTTATTAAACCTAATAAGACTAACCTTTAGTAATGATCATCTTTCAGCATAATATAAGCCATTTTGTCCCTTTGGCTTCTTTTTTTTTAAAGTAAACCAACATCTTCTTTTTTTGTTTTGTTTTGGTTTGGTTGGTTGTGGGGTCTGAACTCTGGGCCTGGGCGTTGTCCCTCAGCTCTTCAGCTCAAGGCGAGCGCTCTACCACTTGAGCCACAGCGCCTCTTCAAGTTTTCTGGTGGTTCTTTGGAGATAAGAGTCTCACAGACTTTCCTGCCCAGGCTGGCTTTGAACCATGATCCTCAGATCTCAGCCTCCTGAGAAGCTAGGATGACAGGCGTGAGCCACCGGTGCCTGGCTAAAAATCTTTTACTTTTGTTTTTGCCTTTCCCTCATCTAGCAGGTCCTATACCAAATACCTGGTCATGAAATTCTACTGAATTTATGAAAGGGAGAATGAATCTTGGTGGATACAAGCAATTCCGCACATGACAGGCCTCCAGTTCACTTCAAGACCCGGATAGGCTAATCACTGAGTATTGGTGTGAATGTGTTTATTTCAGAAGTGCTTTTCTTACTGGGGGTGGGGGTGGGGGTGGGGGAGTTGGATTCAAAGATGAAAGGAAAAAAAAAAAAACCCCAACAACTCCAGAATGCTATCTTTGCCACGATTTCTGTGAAGAGCTTTTCAAAGAACCGTGAGTGGTCAGTGGTTTATCAAGGAGCTGTGGGAAATACAAGGGTGGTGACTCAAGACCTCTGAGAATTCCTGTGGTGCCTAGGAAGTCCCTCCCCCACCCCAACTGCCAATCACCAGAATGCCCTATCCGGTGGGGGTGGGGGAAGTCTATGAGGCAGGGGATCAACTCTGTCCTGAGCAACATGGCTTAGCTTCCAGCTGGTCTCTTCACCTAAAACATTCTCTTCAGAGAGGACAAAACCTAGCCAGGCTGTAAAGATGATTGATTTCCTGTACCAATACCCCACCACTGTATCAATACGACCTCTAGCTCTGACGGGGAAAACCCTGTGACTCCTCAATGACTATGAAGTGACTGCCAGCAACCTGTTACCTCCACACTGAGCAGCCAGAGTCCAAACAGGGTCCCTGCCCTCGCCTAGCACAATCCACTTCCGGAAGCTTCCCCCCTACCTCCTCCTTTCATTGTGCCAGTATTGGGGCTTGAACTTGGGGATTAGGTTCTATCACTTAGTTGTTTATTTATTTATTTATTTTTGGTGGTTAACTGGAGATAAGACACTCATAGGACTTTCCTGCCTGGGCTGGCTTTGAACACTTATCCTTAGATCTCAGCCTCTCTGAGCTCTGATTACAGATGGGAGCCCCGGATGTCTGCTAACACTTGCAGAATCTTATCCTCAGGAAGATATTCCGCCAAGGCACAGAGCTACGTGGCCAGACAGGGGTTCTTCAGAAAGTGTCAGTAACTACCCAGGGAGACCCTGGATATCTGCAACCTAGACGTTCACAAAGACAGAATGGCTCCCTGCAGAAAACACTCCAAGGGTATGAATTAAGTCTATCCCTCCATCCCTAGCTCCTGGCAGGGGGGTCAGCCTGTCCCCCCCCCTCTCCCGGGTAGAGGTGCTTCTTAGGGATAGGGGGGGTAGGAGAAGGCTGTTGATCCAGCCTGACAGGGAGGGGGCAGCCAGGCCAAAGGCGGGGGTGTGATGGTGACAGGTCACAAAGGGCAGAGGGCAGCAGAGGTTAAGTGAGGTGAGGGGGGGGAGACACAGGCAGAAGTCTCACAGGGGGATGGGCAGTTGTTTCGACTCCCTCCCTCCTTTGGGGACTCCATTTGTGGCTGGCAGAGATGTCCCGGATCAAGAAGACCATGAGCAGTGAGTGCCTGCCGCCTTACTACACAGCCCACAGCTACCGCTCCATGGGGGTGCTCAACACCTCCATGGGGGAGCTGCAGCGTCAACTATACAAGGGAGGGGAGTATGACATTTTCAAGTACGCACCCATGTTCGAGAGCGACTTCATCCAGATTAGCAAGAAAGGGGAGGTGATCGACGTGCACAACCGGGTCCGGATGGTCACCGTGTGCATCGCCTCCACCAGCCCCATCCTCCCGCTCCCCGATGTCATGTTGCTGGCCCGGCCAGCCAAGGTGTGTGAGGAGCATGTCCGACGGAACCGGATCACGGGGAGACGCAAGCCCTCCAAGACCCTGGAGCTCACCAGGCTGCTGCCCTTGAAGTTTGTGAAGATCTCCATCCACGATCGGGATAAACAGCAGCTCCGCCTCAAGCTGGCCACGGGCCGCACGTTTTATCTGCAGCTCTGTCCTTCTTCGGACGCGAGGGAAGATCTCTTTAGCTACTGGGAAAAGCTTGTCTACCTCCTGCGGCCACCGGTAGAGAGCTGTAGCAGCGCCCCGACCCTTCAGACAGGCGATATACCCATCGTGGACGACATCAAGAGCCAGACGGTAAAAAGCATCTAGAGACTTAGCGGGTCAGGGAAGGGGGGGCAGGAGGCCGGGAGTTTGAAGCACATCCTCAAGTTGGGGTTCTGCAGAGCTATGGGGAGTCTCTGCTGCTTGCATAGGCAATGTCCTGAATTGGAAAGGGTCCAGGGACAAATGAGTCAGCACTAGAGGGACTAACCTTACTGGGAGGTTCAGGCGTTCCTCAAAAAGAAAAAATGGTCCAGCTGGAGCCGGCTAGGATTTAGCTAGACTCAGGAGGCTGAGATCTGAAGGTCATGGTTCCAAGCCAGCCTGGGCAGGAAAGTCTGTGAGACTCTTATCTCCAGAAAACCAGAAGTAGAGCTGTGGCTCAAAGTGGTAGGGTACTAGCCTTGAGTGAAAAGAGTTCAAGGACAGCGCCCAGGCCCTGAGTTCAAGCCCTATAACCCACCCCCGCCCCCCAAAAAAAAGAACGGAAAAGAAAATAAAAATGTCTGGCTTGAGCAGTGTGCTGGTGGCTCGCACCTGCAAGCCCTACCTACTCAGGAAGCTGAGATCTAAGGGCTGAAGTTCAAAACCAGTCAGACAGAAACATCCATGAGACTCCTATCTCTACTAACAAAAGGCCAGAGTGGAGGTATGGCATGGCACTAGTGGTACAATCCCAGCATTGAATGAAAAAGACCTGAGTTCAAACCCAGTATTGGCTTGCACATGCACGCATGCACACATGCATGCATGCACGCACGCGTGCACACACACACACACACACAGAGACGCACAAGTCTGGCTGGGTACTGTGGCACACACCTATAATCTCAGCACTTGGGTTGTTCAGGTAGGATGAGTTCTAGGCCATTCTATGTTACAGAGCAAGATGCTGCATCTATCTATCTATCTATCTATCTATCTATCT